GATTTATTGTAGAGATGAGAGCTCGCTGCCCAGGTGGATCTCGAACCCACGGGCTCAGGCAATCCACTCACCTCAGCCTCCCAAAGGCACGGGATTACAGGCTGAGCCACCGAGCTCAGCTGAGAAAGCACATATGTTAATCATTCCTTGTTGCTTTATCATCTTGAACATTGTTTTATTTTCATTAACATTGTTCTGCGTTTAGGGTTATTGCTTCTGCGGATACATGGTCAGTCAATCAAATTTATTACATGGAAGAGTCAGAATAGATAATGTTCTAACTCATATATTATCCTTTGTGAAGATTTTTGACCATGGGCAATAATGGGCTAACCTTTATTGGCCAGACTTAAGTCTTTCAAACCAAATTTTTTTTTCACCTTTTTAGCCTAAGTGTAATTAAAGAGTAAGTCCCAGGAATAAAACTTTACATTTCCACAAACTTCAGCCCATGATTTTGAAGTTGTTTACTGTGTGAAAAGTTTTAACATGCATATCTCTTCTCTCCTCCCAGAATAACCATGTGCATGGACAGCCATATACAGGCCCAGCAGCACATCACATGAACAACCCTCCGAGAACTGGCCAACGAGCACAAGAAAACTATGAAGGCAGTGAAGAAGTATCCCCACCTCAAACCAAGGATCAGTGAAATGCACATAATTAACTGGTTCCATCAAGACTGTGCACCCAGGCCTTACAGTCCAACCTTTTTCTGTGTCTGGCTAATATTTAAAACTAGAAAAACTATTCCTAATCAACATGGAGTGGAGAGTTTATTCACTGTCTTATCTGCAGAAATTTGCTGTCAATATATAACCCGCCTGCAGTGGAAAGTGTATAGTGTTTTGTAATAAATGGCCTGATGCTAATGTGTAAATGGCAAAGGTGTATATAGTATATTAATGTTTGACTGTTAATTCTTAAGCAAGAAATTTTTTCTTGATGAGACTCACAGATCTACAAAAACTACAAAAGTTCATTTTCTTGTTATACCCACTGCACTCTGCAACCAGTGTTGCCTGCCTCATGGCAGTTGGATCAACTCAAAAACAAAAAATAAACCAACAACAACAAAACAGAGCCTATTCATGTCAGCCACACCAATAGTTTCATGTTCATTCTTTGCCACTGGCGTCAGTTTTACTATGAGCAATGTAAGGCTGGTAACCTTTAAATTATTTGGTTGATGTGGAAAATTGGTGATGTAACATTGTTTCTAGGTCTTTTTCATTGCCTTTTTATTCTGATATTAGGTTAATCACTTTGGAGCTATAGTTATGCTGTAACATTTAGCATGGCTTCACACCAAGTTAGTGTAGCCAGTGAGGAAAAAATTACCATAATGACAGCAGTTGTCCGAAAAGTGACAACTGTATTGCTCAGAGCTTTTCCTTCTTACACCTAGAATATAAAATATAAAACAAGGGGAGAAATGTGACAAACAGGCTGTTTTCAGTTGCACATATGTTCCTTATATCTAATGTTTGACAGTTCAGTCTCTGGGTGGGATAGAGAACACTTAAGTATCAGTAATGGGAATTTTAAAAGATGTAAAACATATGCAAAAATTTGCTATGCCAAGATGCTGGAGCATAATAGAAGACTGTATTTGGTGTGCTTGTTTTGTTTCTTTGGTAGAGCTTATTAGATGAATCTTCTAAAACTTTACTTCTGCTGGATCCCAGTGACATGGAAGTCATCAGGACCCCGCGGTGCTTGGAGTACCTCTGCACCAAGATGTCTGGCTGATTTTCGGCTCAGTCACAATTTACTTGAAAGCAAAACTGTCCTAGCTCCTTTTCCATTATTCCAAAAAGTTTGACGTTCAAAGCAGGGTTTAAATAAAAAAGAAACTAGTGGTTAATATAATTGAGGTATCACAATTTCAGAATAAACATTTGATTAAAAATAAGAAACTCATCAGTTAACACTGTATTTAAAAGAGAATTGGTAATTTGAATGTGTGTAATTTTTTGGAACCTGTCTAAAAACCAAATACCCCTGCAAACAGATACAGCCCACCCTATTCTATTTAAGTATTTTGCTGTTTTATTTTATAGAAATTATTTTGCTGAATTCACAAATAGAATTTGATTTAAGAAGAACTTTTTGTCCTGTGGTGTGTTTTGGGGTTTTTTTTTGGTTATTTTTTTGTCCTTGTTTTTTTTTTTTTTTTTTTTTAAGGACTGCATATTAAAATTTATTCTGTGCATAGCATGCCTAGGCATGACACTGAATTGAGGATTTCAGTCACATTGAGTTTTTGTGCACAGAAAGATTTGACCTTTGGCCCTTTGCTAAAGATTCTAAGAAAACAGGATGTTGACGCTGTAAGAGTTTCCTAACATAATCTTGTACTTTTTGTATGTTTTTTATATACATGTATATTTAATGAGCACAAGCTTGGTTGTATTTTTACAATTCAGTTAATAGGAAAACGTTTTGTCAAAAGGCTATAGTTGGAACTGAACAAAACAGAAACAAAATCGAGCATCGCATTATTTTGTGATTTATAGGGGCAGGTATTTAAGATAAAGCTTTGGGTATCACATTTGCAGCACTCCAGTCAATCTGTGCTTCTAGATTTTCTGTAATATTAGGAAATTTTGACATCAGATAGATTGTTTTTACTTTATATTACATTTGAATTTAAGTTTGAAAGTCACACAGTTTTTACGCTTCCAATTGGTAGTTTGAGTTCCTTGATTACAAACTTCCTCAACAAATGAAATTGGATAACTTTATTTGGACAAGTCACTGTTGTTAAATGCACTATCTCACCATCTGAGAGGCGATTTTTTTAATATTTCCTGCTCCTTAACAAAATACGTGATGTACTTAATTTTAAAATTTTAATGACTTCCTAGATCAGAAAAACTTGACATTTTAAAAGGCTGTGAAATTTTCTCCTTGGAGGGAGAGTTCAGCGATGGTTGCTTTGAATTTACAAGCCCACTTGGGCTAGGGAAGGGCCTGTGAATCATTCTTCTTTTGATGAAGAAAATTCTGTGTTGTAACCAGGAGCAAGGAAGAGTGAATGGAGTTATTTTTGTTTGTGCAAATTTTTTTCTATATTTAACTCTTAAGCATTAATGTATAACCGGAAATTTTAAGATGCATGTTCTTGTAAGAGCAACAGTGGTGATTTTGAGATCTTTTTCAGAACATAAGTGGCACATTTTAAATTTCAAGTCTTCAAAGTGCCTAAAGATTAGTTCATTCTCCCTCAACTGATTTTTTGAGTCATAAATTTAAATGTTTGCGGAATCACTAGTCTTCCTTTGAAATAAGTACCCCCAGAATTCTAAATGGCATGATTTCTTATAGAAGACAGTAGAATCTGTTAACGTAAAGACTGAAGATATTTTAGTTGTAAAACTGTGTGACCAGGGGCTTTGCCCTGTTGGATCTAAGTATTTCAGTGCACAACTTGGTAAAAACCATATTGCTGCTGTTTCTAAGCCCTCCACCAATCGAATTTTCATGTTCAGCATTGTAGAGGCAGAAATGACAATCGTATTTCAGGGTTTTTTTGTTTTGTTTTTTGCTTTCATTGATTTTTCTCTCGGTGATAATTTCCCAGCCTTGTGTCTTCTAGCTCTTCTGTATACAAATTTAGAATTGTTAAAATGCTTTCTATTTTTTTCATTATTAACTTTTATTAGTAAATGATAACTTAAGCTTCTAATCCTAGTAGTGGTTAGAAAAATGAGGAGCCTTTTTTATTTGAATTAGATTTGTAAATGAAAGCAGCAGTCTGTGAATATTCAGATGACTACTTCAAAGTAGTTCTGTTTTTTTATTTTTCCAGCTTATGTTCTCCCACAAAATATTTTACTTTGCTGAATTTTGTGGTTAATTTGGTGGATATATCCTGCCTTATTTAGAATTTTAACTGGATAGGAAAACTGCCTTTTCATTATAAGTGCCCAGTTTTGGTCTCTAGTTTGAAGGTACTACAAACTGCCGATTAAAAAAAAAAAAACCAACACCCCCACCTTAGTTTTTGTGCTACCCAGAAAAACTATTCAGTACTGGTTTCAAAGTAGAACTCAACCAGAATTGGTCCTACACCTATGTGAGTGTTTAGTATTTGAAAAAAAGGTTTTGAGTGTGATAATCACTACAGAAGTGCTAAATGTATTCAGATTTGCTGCCGATTGTATTTATAACAGTTATTTTACTTTTGCAGAAATGTAGCACTTTAACTCCAAATTTATAGGAGTAAGAAAAAGGAGGGAAGGTGCACCACATTTTAAAGTTGCAAATAAGTGAAAATTTATTTTGAAATCCAGATTCCCAAAAGGAAATTTCACCACCCAAGTCACACACTTCTTACCTTTAACAAGCCAACAGACTGACATAAAGATTGTTCACAGTTCCTAAGATTTAGCACATATACAAAAATAAAACTTTATAAATTAAATTTCGGTTTTCCCTTTTATTTATTAAAATGAGATTTCTAAACAGAAGGTAAAGTAGAGGTAATAGATCTGAAAGGAATTTTTCAAAGGGAAATGTCTGAGGAAAAGCATTCAGCCATTGTGTATATCTCCAAAGTGCATTCACATCTAAGCAATTTAAAAATTGAGTTGTGATCTAATTGCTGGCTTAATAGTTTTTTAAAACCAAGACTTGACACACAATTCAGTGTTTCGCAGTTCTATTAAATCTGAAATAAAGCAGGTCACGTGTTTTGAAGAACGTTACAGAAGTGGAATTTAATTCTTTAGCGGGTAAAGTTTAGGCCTCCCTTTGGTCTCCACTTTGCCTGGTTTGAGATCAGGTACTATCCATGTGTCCCTGCCGTGTGGCCCTCTACCCCCACCCCACAGTGTCCCCTTACTGCCAATCCCTTTCAAGTATTATGGTAAATGTTCAGGATCTGCTTATGAGTGAGAACATGTGATGATACTGTTCTTTGTTTCTGTGATAGACCACTGGGTATGGTAGACTCAATCCATCCAAGTTGCTGCGAAGTTCGTGTTTGTCCTTTATGGCTGCATAATATTCCATTGTGTATATGTACCACTTTTTTAAAAATCCAGTCCAGTTTTTTTTTTTTTTTTTTTTTGAGTTGGAGTCGCACTCTGTTGCCCAGACTGGAGTGCAGTAGCCGCTCCCGGCCACCGCAGCCTCGCCTGCTGGGCTCCGGCGATCCTTCCGCCTCAGCCTTCCAAGTAGCCGGAATTACAGGCATGCGCTACCACGCCCGGCTGATTTTTTGATGTATTGTAGAGATGAGGTCTCGCCTGCCCAGGCGGGTCTTGAACCCGCGGGCTCAGGCAATCCACTCACCTCAGCCTCCCAAAGGCGCGGGATTACAGGCTGAGCCACCGAGCCCAGGCAGCATGGTTGGTTCCATGTTTTTGCTATTGTGAATAGTGCTGCATCTCTAGCATATTTCATCTGTTTTTTAGAATCCAAAAAGTAGCTGTCATGTTCCAAGGGAATATAATTTCCACAGAAACCTGATGGTGTTTCCTAAAGTTGGGTTACTTCAAGAACCGCTGAAGAAAGACATCCCAGATTTTCTTTAGATTTAGTTTCTGATGTTTTTTTTAAAAGACGCAGAAGTCTAATGCAAACAACTTTTTTCTGCAGTTTAGAAAACTCCCAGTTAGACCATTTGAGTATTTTAAGTTTTTAGCTACACGAATACACTAACTGAAAATCTACATAGCCGCCAATATTTTGAACTGTGTTGTAATCTGATAGTTTATAGGAAGACAGAAAATTGGCAGTTTGTTTCATCTATACCTCAAAAGTGTGAACTTCTTACTAAAGTTGATGTCACAAAAAAGGTGGTGGTAAAATCTCCAAAGAGATTTTTTTTTTTTGAGTTGGAGTCTCACTCTGTCGCCCAGGCTGCAGTGCAGTGGCCGCTCCCGGCCATCGCAGCCTCGACCTGCTGGGCTCCGGCGATCCTTCCAAGTAGCCGGAACTATGAGTGTGCACTACCACGCCCAGCTAATTTTTGATTTATTGTAGAGATGAGGACTCGCCAAGTTGCCCAGGTGGATCTCGAACCCGCTGGTTCAGGCAATCCACTCACCTCGGCCTCCCAAAGTACTGGGATTACAGGCTGAGCCACCGAGCCCGGCCAGGGAAATGTTCTTAAACCATACTAAGAAACTATAAGACAAACTTCAGCCCCACATAAATGAATTATTTTAAAGGTATTCTATTTAAGTGGACAAAACTCAAGAGTAAAATGAGAATCATTTTAGCCATCTGAGATAAAACAGGTTGTCTTCATTCTCCATTAACACTAGCGAGAATATACTGCATTTCACAAGTCAAAGATGTCAGTAAGCAAAAATCTCTGAGTCAAAGATGGTACAATGGGGGAAATCACATCCGGTAGTGGTCAATGTCATGACAATATCTTAACACCTGAAAGTAGGTTTCTACTGTGCGCTTTCCTCACATTCCTTATCTTTCCATTAGCAGAGTTTAGAAGTCCTATTTTTACGTGTAATTGCTAAGAAAGGTGGCCCATCTACAAGTTGAAGAAAGGCAGGCGCGATGGAACAGAACTTTAGAAGAGTCCTCAAATTGTAAATGAGGTGCTCCCTGTGAACAATCCTCTTGAGATTTGTGTTTGCCATAGCTTCCAATTCGACATGACGTTACTATTAAAAATACCAAGTGAACTTTCCGGCTGCCCGGGACTCTACCTGGCAAGGTACTCCCTACGTTAGAAGATGGATATAGCAGCCGGGCTCGGTGGCTCAGCCTGTAATCCCGCGCCTTTGGGAGGCTGAGGTGAGTGGATTGCCTGAGCCCGCGGGTTCGAGACCCACCTGGGCAGCGAGACCTCATCTCTACAATAAATCAAAAAATCAGCCGGGCGTGGTAGCGCGCGCCTGTAATTCCGGCTACTTGGAAGGCTAAGGTGGAAGGATTGCCGGAGCCCAGCAGGTCGAGGCTGCGGTGGCCGGGAGCGGCCACTGCACTCCAGTCTGGGCGGCAGAGTGAGACTCCAACTCAAAAAAAAGAAAGAAATGCATTCTTACCAGTATCGCTGTTTTTCTTCAATCACTTGCATGGTGTCATATTTTCATCTAATTCCTTCCCATTAAGACATTGAAAACATCTTTAGAGTTCAGAATTAAGGATAATTTTGACTGGGTCTTAAATCTGGTCCTTTAAGTGAGACCAGAGAGAAGGAATAATTTGTTTCATGGAGGTTCAGAATTGTGCTCCTTTTTTTTTGTTGTTGTTGTTGTTTTGAGTTAGGGTCTCTGTCTTCCAGGCTGGAGTGCTGTGGTACAATCATGGCTCACTGCAGCCTCAACCTCCTGTGCTCAGGTGATCCTTCTGCCTCAGCTCCTCAAGTAGCGAGGACTACAGGCACGTGCCACCACTCCCAGCTGTTTTTCTGATTTTTTGTTTTTGTAGAAGCAAGGTCTCACTATGTTGCCTACACTGGGCTCAAGCAATCCTCCCGCCTCGGCCCCCCAAAGTGCTGGGATTACAGGCATGAGCCTCCATGCCCGACCTGCATTCCCTTCTGACCCACCTAAATATTAATATTACCTGCACACAGTTGTTAGCAAGAGGAAGCAGAGTGCTGAGGAAATGGGTCAACATTTAGGGCATATGGTGTGTTGAGTGAAAGCCCTTCATACTCTATTTTCCTAAGGCGTCTAAAGGATGTGTCCCTGATAGATTTCTTGATGTAAAATAGCACGTTCTGTTGGGTGATTAGGGAAACACCTTTTTCAGGCTGTGTTTATTTTATTTTATCTTTTTTTTTTTGAGTTGGAGTCTCACTCTGTCGCCCAGACTGGAGTGCAGTGGCCGCTCCCGGCCACCGCAGTCTCGACCTGCTGGGCTCCGGCGATCCTTCGGCCTCAGTCTTCCAAATAGCCGGAATTAAAGGCATGTGCTACCACGCCCGGCTGATTTTTTGATTTATTGTAGAGATGAGGTCTCGCTGCCCAGGCGGGTCTCGAACCCGCGGGGTCAGGCAATCCACTCACCTCAGCCTCCCAAAGGCGTGGGATTACAGGCTGAGCCACCGAGCCCAGCTCAGGCTATGTTTAAAATCAGAAACCTAGATCGTGACTGCGTACATTTGGTGAGTTAGTACTTTCTCTTACTGAAAATATTAATCAGCACTAGTAACTAGGTCTTTCAGCCATCTACTTGCAGAATTGTAGGCATTTATTATTAATCTTTTCTAGCAAAATGGGCCTTATGCAGATTCCAAAAAGGTCATGTTAAACATACCTTCCTTAGGAAGTCTAAGACCATGAATGTACTTAAGAGATTTACAGCTAAAGCTATTCCATTGGTTTGTTTTGTTTATTTGTGAGTTGGAGTCTCACTCTGTCGTCCAGGCTGGAGTGCAGTGGCATGATTACGGCTCACTGCAGCCTTGACCTCTTGGACTCAGGTGATTCTTACACCTCAGCCTTTTGAGTAACTAGGAACCACAGGTGTCTGCCACCATGTCCGGCTAATTTTTTTTAAATCTTTTTTTAGAGACAAGGTCTTGCTATATTGCCCAGGCTAGTCTTCAATTCCTGACCTCAAATGATCCCACTTAGGCTTCCCAAAGTGCTGGGATTACAGGCATGAGCCACCACGGTCAGCCTTTAAGTTGAATTTATTTATTTATTTATTTATTTATTTGAGTTGGAGTCTCACTCTGTCACTGCCTCAGCCTTCCAAGTAGCTGGAACTACAGGCACATGCTACCACGCCCGGCTATAAGTTGATTTTAAATCACCAGGCTCTTAGGTTGTACTTAGCCTTATCTATTCTCCAGCATTGGAATTTTTAACTAACAGAAAAGCAAAAAACAAAAATTCAGACTTGCACTAAAATGGTAACAGGTTTGCTGAGATTTGGTTTAGTAATTCAGTAACATGAATACTAGATAAACTGAATGTTGGGTTACTGGATTATTGTTTAACACTTACCAACACAGCATTAGACACTTGAAATATATTCCTTATCCTCCTGATGTTAGCAAACATTGCATTTTTATAGGGAAAATAAGTCACTGATTTGGAAAGAGTGCAGGCTGGAAAAGAATGCAAAATAGAAATGGCTACAGGATGTCCCTCTCATTCTGTTTTTGTCTCTAGAAAACAGTGCTAAAGTAACCAAGAGCGACATATTTTCAAGTGCTCTTGAGAAGTAATATATCCACATTTAAGCTTTTAATTTCCATTTTGCTGTGCCGAAGTCTGATGGGCAGTAGTTGCTATAGCAGCAGTTTGAAGTCATAAAGAGTAATAACTTACAGGGAAGCTGGCTTGACTCTAGAATTTTAAAACTCAAGAATGAACTGAAAAGATATAAGGCTAGAACCAAAAGGCATATACAATGTCATACCTGAATCTCCTACTAAATACTGAGGTTTGGCATTAGTTGGTTTCAAAATAGTTGTTAAAACCTGGCCTTCTAGTC